TTTTTTTTTTTTTTTTCATTGATATTTTCATGTAGATATCTCGTTCAAGTATGACTTTAATAAACTGTTTAAATTGAAGCAGAAATTAATTTTTTTTGGTCGATACAGCTTAATCGCATGTTTACTTATCATTTTTGTTGTTGTTCCTTGTTACTGTTATTATTTCTTTCATTACTTTTGTTATTATTTTGGTTATTGTATATTTTTGGGTGTTTTTTATTGGTTTTTCCTACACTCTGATGCTTGATTGGAGGAGCAAATCCTTGTTCAAAAGATCGAGGAAGCTGGAACGTAAGAGTGTAGTTAAGTTAAAGAAAAGTTTTTTTTTTTTTTTTTTGAGAAAAAGCAAAGCAACAACAACAACAACAAATATTTCTTCTATTGATCTCACCACTTCCTATATCCACGCTTTGTTGGTATATTTAGTTTTGTTAACTTTAATTTGAACTGCTTTTTTTTGTCTCCTTGTTCTACTCTATTTTATCTTTTTTTTTCGTTTTTTCAACTAATCTTAATTTTCCTTTTTTTTTTATTTTTTAATTTTTTTTTTGTTTATGTAAATTTTTTTGTGCAAATTCCTGTTCCTCTTGCTTGTTGTTTCTTTTTAAATGACTCTTCAAAACATTTATTGAAAGTATGGAAAAGTAAATGGGTAGAGAAAGGAAAAGAAAGGTCGACGATGTGTGGAACGTGTTTGCAAAGGTATAACCAGAAGAGGAGAAATGTTTCTTAGATTTATTTTGAAATTCGTTTTTTTTTTTTTTCGCTTTTAAATATTGTTGATACCTGTTAGATGGGATCAAGGAAATCACTGGGTTTGCTGTTTAACTCTTAATTAGTTTTTAGAAGATGAAAAGCAAAAGCGAGATGTTTCAGCTGTTAAGTGACGGCAAAGTTTATTGATAGCACTGTTCAAAATATCAGAGGGATGGGGGAAAGAACCCCAACAATAACAGCGGGAGAAAAAAGCTATATCAATCATTGTGGATTTTTTGTCGCAAAAAAATTAACCCTTTTTTTATTATGAGACAGCGGCTTTAGCGGTAACATTAGGGTCAATGTGTAGATCATTTGAAAGGAGCGAAAAAAATTTTATAACCCTGCTTTTTTATTTTTATTTATTTATTTATTTTTTTATTTTTTTGAACGTGGGAGAGAGCAGTGCCTATGTTGGTTTTTTGTCAAAACGAAGTTGATAAGGTTTATTACATTGTTTTGTGGGCTAGAAGTGTTGGTGATCATTTGTTGTACAAAAAACTAACAGAAGAGCGTTATACAGAAGCGTGTTTTAGTTATTTTTTTCCATCCATGTGTTCGTCACCATTAGAGTTTTTGTTTTTCAGAGGCTCGTGATATGTTGATTTGTAACGCATTGCATAGAAGCCGTTACGGTGAACTTAAATTTGCTTGTTGTTTTTCATCTCAGAGTTCAAGGGTAGGGTGGTATTGGCCAGATGACATTAAAGAAATTTGCATTTTTTAAAAATATTTTTAACTTTTTTTGATTGGTTGGTATATATGCATTGCCGTTCGTGTCATTTTATTTTTATGTACACTTGATAAAATTTTTTTTTTAACTTTAGTATGGTGGATTGATTATCGGTTGGTCAAGTAATGACAGGAATAAGAATGTTTTAACTTAAAATGCTGTTAAGGAACGGTGCATCTGTGGTTTGTTGGAAAAGTGTTTGTTAGATTATTTTTTAAAACTTGTCAAACTGCTCGCCGGGGCTACGTCGACATTCCGCGAACGTAGATCGCTCGCGAGTAGCATGTTGAAGTCTAGGAAAAAGGATAAGGAGGATTCCAAAAGTTCGAAGGTATGCAATAGGATAGAAGTTTTAATGTTTTTATGATTTGTCGCTTTGAAAATCTTTTCGCTTGTGAATGTTTGTTTGACGCCTACCACTTACTTTTAGCCTGATAAGGAAGATAAAAAAGATGAGAAAAAGAAGGAAACCAAGGAAGTCAAGAAGGAGCATACCACTGCTGTAGCTTCAAATCCGGTGAACTCGCCTAACATACCTCTTATAAAAACTCAGGCAGTAGTTGATGAAGGGATCCCGCCAGATGCTCCTCCACCAACTTCGTTAAAAAAAGTAAAAATTATTCTTGGCTACTCCTACATTACATTAAATTAATTTAAAGATTCATGTACAACTTGTTTCTTCGCATATTTTTTATTGGCTTACAATATTACTTGATAACTGACTGGTAGTAATTAAAACTACAGTGAATCTAAGTATTTAATTTATAGTTCCATTCTTATTTTGCCTTCATCCTATACAGTTTCGCTAATTCAATTGAGCTTAAGAAATTCTAGAATTTTGTATTTGATTCTCTTACAGTGATATATTGTCTGTTTCTTCAGGGCTTCAGTTTTCGCTTTTTTTTAGAGTAAAACTTGTTAATAACTACATTTGCTTTACCGGTTAAGTCTGTGAAGGATGCTCTTAATGAGTGGGACTCTTTGGTTTTCTCAGTTGCCAAAGTTTTTGACAAAACTTTAATCATTTTACTTCTTTTACTTTAGAAAAAAATTTTTTGTTAGCAAACACTTTAAAAAAGACTATTAAAATTGTCTCTTTTATTTATCTCTTACTTGCAAGAACGTAGTGCCAAGGAGTTGTTTTTCTTAAACGCAGTTTAGCATTTCTTTGCGACATTTTACTGCCCTTAGGATTCATTTTATCTTTAATTTTATTACCAGTTACCATTGTTATTCTCCTTTTCTATTACTAATATTTAAATATTTTTACTGTTTTATTTGAAATAATTTCATTGAGGATTCTTACGTTTGGCAGCTTGCTATTGTTGTCTTAAGTTATTTTCAGCTCAACTTTTGAAAAAGTGTCCACTGTAGTCCTTCATTTCAAGTAAGCGTAGGCGACGTAATGGTTTTTTAGTTTTTATCTGGTCGGAACCAGAATTGCTATGAAAGATTTTCGGTTTTGAACATTTTTAACGCGTCACTTAAAAAGTAATCAGATTTAGTTTAAGTAGAATGTTGACTATGTATTTTTGGACTCGAATTTCAATGAAATGTTTGTACTTTAGTCTGTTTGTCAAAATTTTGATTTTTGGATTGACGTCTAATTAACAGAACTTAGCTTGTTCGGCCTCGCAATAGGGTACCTTTTGTATGGTGCTATTAAAGTTGGGCTAAATATCAAGTTTATTTTTAACTGTTATTATTGATTAGAAGAGTGGGTACTTCTTATAAATTTATTGAAAACTTTCAAATTCATTTCGTTTTCTGTAATTACCATTATTTCAGCCGATATTAGCTACTGGTCCTGCTATTCCTAGGAAAGAAAGAAGGCAGAGTAGTTCGATGTTTAATATATCAGCTAATAGAGAACTGGTGATGTTGCCAAGCATCAAAGGTTTTTTTTTTCACTCATAGGTTGTCAAAGATCAACCACAGCTTTTCCCCTTGAGTTTTTTACTTATACAGTCGTCTTCGGGTTTAAACTTTACCACTTCAGAAGCTGACCCTGCTGCAAAAGAAGAATTAGTGATTCAAAAGTTACGACAGTGTTCCGTTGTCTTTGATTTTGTTGATCCATTGTCGGATATAAAATATAAAGAAGTGAGCACTGGGATGTTTTCTTTAACTTTTTAAAACAGGTCATCATTTTTAATCGATGAATGAGTTATCTGGTACGTTAATGGGATTTAATTAAATAAAGTATGAATGTTCGTAGCAAGATTCAGTAAATTTTGTTTATTAGGTGAAGCGAAACACTCTTAACGAATTAACGGAGTATGTTCACTGTGAAAAGGGTTTTCCGGAGTCTATTTATCCCGAAATCGTGAGCATGGTATGATTTTTTTCATGATTATCGGTTTTCTTCAATTTTCTTCAAGCAAAATAAGACTGCAACTCAAAAAATTAGTATTTGTGACCACATATCGTTTTATCATCGTTCTTATGAGCCTAGTATATCCGGATCTTTTTTTAGTTGAGTGCGAACTTGTTTCGAGTGCTTTCGCCTCCTTCAAACCCTACTGGGGCGGAATTCGACCCCGACGAAGATGAACCAGCTCTAGAAGCAGCTTGGCCTCATTTACAGGTACTGTTGCTTTGAATAAGTCTTGTCGGTGACTCAAGATTTATGTAGGCGACGAATCTCCAGCTTTTTTTTTTCTTTTGATCGTCGTTTTCTTTGATTCCTAGTTATTTATCAACCATAAGAATTTTATCTCATTTTTTTGCTTTGCTTTTTACAACTTTGCATTTAAACTCCTTTTCCAAACATTGAGAGTGTTTATAATAAGAGTTTAAATGTTAAGTTGCGGTCGTCTTATTGGTACCAGATTACTTGCTTTTGTTCGTTGCGACTCTCGTGGCTTTTTAATATATTTTTTCAGCTTGTTTATGAATTTTTTCTACGGTTTCTAGAATCTCCAGAATTCCAACCCTCAATAGCAAAGAAGTACATCGATCAGAAATTCGTTTCACAAGTACTTTTTACTTCTTTTTACCGGTTTCTCATGATGCCACTTTTGAAACTTAAGACAAATTTATTAATATTCAGGAAGCTTGAATCTTATAAAACTTAACCTTCAATTGCTTCTGTGCAACTGGAGTTTTAAATTTCAGCTAATAGAGTTATCGGATAGTGAAGACCCCAGAGAAAGGGACTTTTTGAAAACTACCTTGCATCGAATATATGGAAAGTTTCTTTCTCTTCGGGCTTTTATGAGGAAGCAGTTTAACAATATTTTTTACACCTTCATTTATGAGTGCGATAGACACAATGGTATTGGTGAACTATTAGAAATTCTTGGTAGTATAATTAACGGGTTTGCTGTTCCACTGAAGGAAGAGCACAAAACATTCCTATTAAGAGTTCTCCTTCCACTTCATAAAGTAAGTCCAACGCCCTGTGACTGTTTTATTCAATTATTTTGGCAAAATCAAAGGTCTAAATGAGGAAATTTGAGACATTTTAGGTT